ATATTTTGTGTCTACAATAAAAAATTGGTGGGGGGGGGGGGAAGGAAAAGAAACCTTACCAATCTTAATGAAAATCAGTGCCATTGCTTGGAATATTTATAGTGAAAGCAGGTACTTAAGCAGACTACATTAGAAGCATCACAATACAGTTTCCAAATATTGCACAGAGCAAAAAAAATTTCTACAAACAAGAGAGAGATAGAGAAATTGTGGCCACAAGAAATATCCTGTTGAGTGTAAGTTTACATCACATTTAAATAATCTTCATTACTCTGTTCCTTGAGAATGTATTCTTATTTCCACAGGGGTATTTTTCTATTCATTACATAGTTCTGCAGCATTTAGACAGGCTGTTGCCAGTATATCTGAACAACTTCTTGCTGTTTGTCATCTGAGCTGCAAAAGCATCAAAACTGCCCAATTATTCCAAATGAGAAATGAAAAATCATGTTCAATTTTTACTGCTAAAATTATGGACATTATTATTAAATTAAAATTGCCTTTATCAACAAACCAGGAAAACACAAGTGTGATGAAGAATCGCTTCTAACATACATGTAGCTATGGAAGTGACTGACACCTGCAAAAAACACCATCAACTTATCTTTTATGGAGAGTTTGAGGGGAAAAAAATCCAAATGGAAGACATTTTCCTTCACTACTGTGACACTTAATAGATGTAAACAATTACCTTGATATATCCCAATGGAGACAACACAGTCATGAAAAAGATGCTCCATGGATCATCAAATGCTAAGTCAGACAGAAAATTTGTGATTCTTGAGTTCACCTCCTGTAAGCTGAATACATCAAGATTACTCACACTGTATCACTTGGTTTTGACAGAATTCATATAACCTTTTCAGAACATGGACCGCAACATCCTAACAGATCTCTCTCACTATAAATCAGAAATTTCTTGCTGTTCAGTTTCTCATTTATAAACAGTTTAACCCATCCACAGGTCTAACACATCTAACACCGAGAAAAACAAAGGAGCTTATATACACCTGAAGACAAAGTTTAAGACAGTGCTAGACTCAAGATATGTTATGGCAAATAACCTGTCAGGTCTTTAAAATTCCAAGAAAGTTTGGAAAACATGATGGCAGATTGTGCCTAATAAGCTTGCACTAATTTCTTTAAAACATGCTGAATTTTGGATAACTTTCATATCAAAATGAATATGCCTCTACATGTCAACAAAGAAAACAGCAGCCAAAACCTTTCTGTGTGTTTAGAAAAATGATATTCTATATTTTGTCACAAAACAACAGAAAGGAAAGAAGATTCTCTTGCTATAAATCATCTCTGTTCTAAGTCACTAACTCTAGTCTTCACCTTCTGCTAGCAATAATGTTAAACCACCTCCTAGTCAGTGATTCACATAGCACAGTCCTCCCAACACAGACAGTAAGCTGTTGAGACTTAGCAGATTTGCAATAAACTTACAAAGCAAGTTCTTTAATATATACTTACCCTATAACATACATATCCATAGTTGGGCCCAGTGAATTGAGCTGAAGTAAACTCGTGACATCAGGAGGCGGAGAAGCTGTGCCCACATTCCAAGTAACTAAGTGTAGTCTACAAACAAACACAAATCAGAAAAAAATCCCAATGATAAATTTGAAATGTGAACAGGTAACCCTAAGAGCATCTAATTTCCCCACAAAATTTCTATCTACAGAAAACAAATATTTTCTGTCACTTTTCATCAATCAGAAATCTACTTATTAACATTAAAAAAAAAAAACACGAAAACAATCAACTACAGGGAACAAAACCTGAATTCTTGCCACTTATCCTTCAGCTTTTTCCCCCAGATAAGGAAAGCTTCATCTAGAGTGCGAGACACTTCTTCGTGAATTTCATCATCCGAGCTGATGTCCTCTACACAAGCCATAAGCTGGGCTACTCGTTGACGGAGCTGCAAGCGGCCACTGGACCCTGTGCTGCTGAAACTCGCAGAGCGGCTGCGGAAGTTGTGCAGGCTTTCTAAATCGTTTAGGGAGAGGGCTGCTGAATCTTGAAATGCATCTTCGCTACTGAAGGATGCCATTTGCTCAAAGGAAAAGAATAACTACACTCTGAAGGACTAGCCCATTAAAATCCTAAGCATAAAAGAAACAGATGGCCAAGGGTCTTCCAGATCAAGTTTTCACTCATGTGAAATTCAGCATTGCTTCTAACACCAAAGAACAAATGTAGATGCAGCAATGCTGAAAAAAACTGTAGCATTACCACCACACTCAAGGGGTTGTTACAAAAGCTGCAATCGCATCCTACCTCACACACTGAATTCTTTCTTCATAATAGATTTAATGTGCTTAATTCTATAAGCTCAAGATTTAAAAGAATTTATTGTTGATGTGAATCAATCATGTGCCTCCATCCGTAGGCTAGTAGAACTATAATCTCCCAGATATACAAATACATAGCTCTGACCAAAACCAAGCAAACCTATCAGAAACTTCTGCATGCCATAGGACTTGTCTATTGTTTTTTTAAGATGGTAATCTCCATATCAGAGCTTTGGATTCACTTTACCATCAGTCTAGTTATACGTCAGACAGACTTAAAAAATAAGCTGTTAATTTTCCATCCATCCTAGAGTCCTATAAGGACCCTATAAACACTGATAGTTAGTGAATCCCACCAATACACCCATTATTAGGGTTGTATTTTTATCCCACAATCAACTGCCTGCTCAAGGTGACACACGATGTGTGTGGAAGAGCTGGAAAGTGACCTTGCATACCAGACTAATTCAGTGATCCATAATTTCTCTCATTGATATATTCTCTTTGTAAGACTACACTGAAGTCAGCCAAAAGCTATTCTAAAACAAAATTCTAGGGGAAAAAAAAAAGAAAAAAGCATGTATGCTGCAGATCTAATTCTGCCATCAGAGATGTATCACTTGGGAACTCTTGCCAGTTACTACTTTTGTAAGACAATTACCTCATTAAACAAAACTGAAATAATACTGAAGTCATCAGTCATTACTAAGAGAAATTAAATTCCTCAAAGTGCCCAATATGTACACTACTGATAAGAACACAGGAAAGACTGCAGTGCTAGAATTTACACCAAAGGATAAAATACTGGGAAAAATGTCAAGAACACCCTTAATAATTCAGTTTCATTGTAGGTTATGACTATGTCTGCAGGAAAAACTTAATAGTGAGGAATGTACATGCATCTGCAGAGCAAATAACCTACAGCATTATGCAGTCCCAAAGGTCTACTGATGCTCCCGACTACTTCACAAGGTCATACAAGTAACATCCACAGTTAAGGAGAGGAAACTAGAGTGATGTCAATTTTCATCTGATGCCAAAAAGACAGCCTTTACCAAAGAGAGGAGGATACTGCTCAAACTATTCTGGAAGCTTTCAGTACCACAAGAGTACAGCGTCAAGCATGCTTTCTGCAAACACATTCCTAAATACAAGCAAACTAAGGAAGACATTATTGAGTGTCACTGACTCCTCCCATGATTTGAGGGCAGAGAATTTTCTAGGGTCATAGTGTTTATAATACTGCATTAAGATGACTTCTAAGATCTTTGAGCAAACGTGTTTGTTGGGTGTCTGGTTTTTTTAATTTTTCCTGTTATAGACAGCTACTCAACTACCCTTTAAGAAGATTTCTCTAGTGTACCAAGCCCACAGCATGTTACATCGCAACTTATTGCCATAGAAGACACAACGTGAAGATGCAATGTGAAAACACCGTAAAAGCAGAAGCCAAAGATTTACTCAAGCTCCTTCCTCCTCGCGACAAGTGAGGAATTTGCGGCTCTAGACATACTAATAGCAAGAGCAGTAGATCTTGTCCTCATTAAGCGTAAGTAGGTCTCTGGGAAGTCCTAAGGGACCCAAACAATACTCAATAAGCCTCCCTGAAACGACTTCAGAACCGACGCTTTCAAATCAGAAAATCAGCTTTTCTTCTCTATTTCATATGACTACGTAACATCGCCAATTAGTATAATTCCCTGTTAACAAGCAGAAACACAAGTTTCCCTAATTCTCAGCTAATTACGTAACGACTTAGCTACTTTTCTCCCCTACTCGGAAAACCCGCCCTCAGACCTGCGCCTCACGCCCAGCCGCCCGCCCCCCACCCCGACCGCTCACCTCAGCTCCCTCACGG